CTGAGGGTTGCGATCCGTTGCCGGACACGGAAAAAAGACAAAAGACAAAAAAAAAAAAAGGTGATGAAAAAAAGAAGTCAAACATTTAGAGAGCATTGGAGAGGGCTTCCTGTGTAAAACAGTACTAAATGTACCATAACCTGTAAAATCTACAATCATGGGTGATTTATTTTTTTAAATAATGGAAGTAAGATATTGCTTCTGTAAATGTGATCATAATATTAGACATTCAAGACTAATAAATAAAGATTACATTGTTATATTTTATTTAATCTCCTTTAAAAAAAAATCCATTATATAATAATCTAAAAGTTTCCAAAAGTAGCAATAGCTAGAATAATATATAAAACAGAACCTAAAAATAACTTTATATTTTGTACGTGATTTTTCCTCATATAATAAAAGATTACATTTTCTAAAAAAGTAATTTGAAGAAATATAAAGTGATGCATTTTTCATTAAAGCTTAAAATGCATCAGAAGGTAAAGTGCTCTAAGGTGCTAGCTCAATGTGATATTTAAATACTAATCACCTTAATATTTAACACCAAAAAATTACAACTAAAAAGTATTAAAAATTATACCTCAATAAAGCTGTAAAAAATGTTTATAGTAATAAATCAAAAACATTTTGTATATGACTAACCTAAACCCTCGCACAGCAAATGTTATAATTACATAATAGGCACATCTTTTTCAGTTTTAGATAAACTGAGACCACCATGGGTCATACAGAGTTAATCATCAGTGGAAACATATTTACAGCTCATGCTTTAATTCTGACTACCATTTCTTTGGTGATTCTACCTCAAATCTATGTTAAAAACTTACTGTTATTTAAACAAAAGATTCTGGTATTAGCTTACACTTAAAGTTTGTACTTGTGTAAAACAAGGTATATTCTAAAAGCTGAAAATTTTGCTGAAGAGAGCAACACCCAGGGTCCTAGGCAGAAGCTGAGGGCAGCCCCCACCGCCAAGAAGCAGGCAAGAAAGCAACGCTCAGGGTCCTATGCAAGAGCTGAGGGTGGTCCCTTCTGCCCAGAAACAGGCAAGGGAGCACACCAAAAATACCACTTTCACCACAGCCACAGGTACTGCAAAATCAGCTCAATGCCGCAGCAGTAGCCACAGCCATCGTGCAGGCAGCTCACCAGACACTTGAATGCACTGACACAAGTCACCAGCAGAGACCAGAAAAAGAAAAGGATGTTTCTCTCCTCAAAGCCCACTCCAGAGTAACAGAAGAAGCATCTGCTCTACCAGATGACCAGACAGCAATGTAGAGATACTAGGAATATGAAAACCCAGGAAAATGACACCACCAAAAGAATACAGTAATTCTCAAATACTAGACCCTATAGAGCAAGAAACCCTTGAAATGACTGAAAAGGAAATCCGAGCAACAATCTTAAGGAAACTCACTAAGATATGAGAAGACTCAATTAGACAACATAATGAAATGAGAAAAAAATCCAGGATATGAAAGAGGAAATTTACAAAGAGATTAATACCTTAAAAAAGAATGAAGCAGAACTCATGGAATCAAAAGATTCACCCAACGAAATAAAAAACACAACCAATAGCTTAAGCATCAGGCTAGAACAAGCAGAAGGAAGAATTTCTGATCTTGAAGATAGTCTTTTCAAAATAACCCAGGCAGACAAAAAAGGGAAAAAAGAATTTTAAAAAATGAAGAAAATCTAAGAGACCTTGCAGACAACCTTAAGTGCACAAACATTCAAATCATGGATGTTCCAGAAGGGAAAGAGAAAGGAAAAGGTATGGAAAACCTATTCAATGAATAAATAATGGAAAACTTTCCAGGTATAGGGAGAGACATGGACCTTCATATCCAGGAGGCTCAAAGATTCCCAAATAGATTCAACTCAAAAAGATCCTCTCGGGGCCAGCCCGGTGGCGCACTGCTACAGTGCGCCGCTTGGGAGCGCAGTAGCGCTCCCACCGAGGGTTCGGATCCCACATACAGACCGGTTCCCGCTCACTGGCTGAGCGAGGTGCAGGCGCGACACCGAGGGTTGCGATCCCGTTGCCGGTCCCAGTCCGGTACGGGCGCGACACTGAGGGTTGCGATCCGTTGCCGGACACGAAAAAAAAAAAAAAAAGATCCTCTCCAAGACACATTATAGTGAAAGCTCAAAGACAAAGAAAGAATCTTAAAAAAAGAGAAAAGTGATTTCACCTATAAGGAGGCCCCTATCAGACTAACAACAGACTTCCCAACAGAAACTCTGCAGGCCAGAAGAAAATGGGAGGATATATAAAAATACTAAAAGAAAAAAAATTGCCAGCCAA